AAATTACAAAGCATGAAACAACTCATCTAATACATGCTTAATTACATTATAAAGCATGATATACATGAACTAAATTACACAAAAACAATAAAAATAAATAAAAATTCGTCACAGAAAAATTTCAGTGGGACTTACTTTTAAAAAAAAGATTTGAACCACACAATCATTTTCTACGTTCGATTTTTATGCGAGTAGTAATTTTTTTTTTTTTTCCAAGTAGTAATAGACTGGGCCATCATATTCTATTCTATGTTTGTTTTTGGATGCAAACACAATTTAAAATATTAAGGATGTATTTGTTAAAATTAACATACAAAACAATGCGCCAAATGCAAACTCCAAAAAAAGTTCTGAAATAATGGTTGATTATTGCACTTTCAAGCTAGAAGAATAAGAAATGGATCACATCAGGGCATCTAATTCTTATGTGAATACGGGACAGAAGGAATAAGTTAACCGACCTTGAACTGAGGGGTTGGCCTGTGATCTGCCTGCTGTTGTGCTTTGTAGTGGATATGTTGTTGGTCCGCTATGCCATACTGGCAGTTATGCTACTACACAGCTCTGTCCATAGCTAGTTTTTTGTTGTTTGGTATATGGATTGCAGCTGGTTTCTAGCCTTGGTAGTTGTTTAATCTGATCTATTTGTTGCTGTTGATAAGTAGTTGCCTCCTGCTATTTGTGGAATGGTGTGTCACAGAGGAGCTTTGATCTACCTGGCGTTGTATCTGTTTTAGTGGGCTGCTGAGGGCAATCTGAAATGCTGTATCTGTTGTTGGTCTGCTATGCCATTCGGGTTGTTATGCTGAATGCTAGTTTGGTCTGAATTGCTGAATTGCTGGGCTGCAGAGGGAAAACTGAAATGCTGTAGCTGCTGTTGGTCTGCTATGCCATTCTAGGTTACTTTGTCCAAATATAGTTTTGTGGCTGCTACTGCAAAGAATTGGAGTTAAAGCTGAATCAGTTTTGTATGGAGGTAGGACTCACATTTGTGGCTTCATTTTGGAAAAGGGAAGAGGATGTATTGTAGGCAGTGGAGTTTTGTGGGCTCATTATGGCTAGAGGGGTCCCTTGGATAAAAACTCACTCAATTGGGTTATGTTCACAGTGAATGAATCTGTGTTTAATTTATATCAAGTAAAAGTTGCTGCTGACTTGGAGTGTTAAGCCACTTAAATTCACACGTAGGGTGCACTTCACATAGATTATACCAATCAATAATATCAACTAACAAAGGTCAGGCCACTTAAATTCAAATGAAATTTTGAAACATTATTATATCTGAAGGAACAAAAAAGCGTGCATTAAATGATCATTTAAGACAATTCCCCTACAACATTTCTGCTTCAATGCTTGCAACAATTATAAGCATTAGATAGACCAAAACTAGATGTAAACGTGCCCTTCAAAACTAGTCGTGGATGTGTTGTGGCTGTTCAGCCGAATCCATTCTATGCTATTTTCCTAGTTTTCCCTTCAAACAATTGCTTTATTTCCCAGCCAAATGATACACTTGAAGAATGTAGATTCATAAGTAACATAAATGTCATCTTACAATAACAAAAGCATAGATAAGATCACCAATACAGAGACAACTTATCCAAAGCATAGGATTGAAATCATTTGATAATCCTACTTTTCCACCCTTACTCCACCCTTATTAGGTATGACCAGTCAAATGCAAAATCTTTATATCTTACTTACAAATTTCAAATCAGCATCACTTAGCAACAAAGACAGCAAAGAAAGAAAGAAAAATAGAAGTCCAACATGTTTTAACCTAGAAGCTAAGCAATAATCACAATTGCACAAAAACCAAATTATTTTCATGTGTGATTACAATAGTCAATGACATATGCAGCGTTCCACAAATTTATACAATTTTCATAATAATAGAAGTTTAACGAGCACCAATTGTTCAAAAAAAAAAAAAAAACAGAAAAACATGATCACTATATATCTACAGGAAGTATGCAAAATTCTGCTGGTGTAACTTTCATTTTAGTGAAATTTGGTCTTATTTCACATGCTTTATCATCATGCTAGTTTTTAAAAGATTTAAATCTCCCCATAAAAACTCATACAACTAGTGTTTTATATCACGACATATTGACATTTACAAAGACGTAGCCCCCTTCATTATAATGAGTTTGATTTGCATTTGTGTACCTATTGAACATTCACATTGCTCTAATTATGACATGAACTAAAGCATGATATACATCAAGATTCTACATCAACATCTGTATCAAAATTACTTTGTAGGTCATATTCTTCGTCTGTGTCGTCACCCTCCCTCATTAATCCGTCTTCATCATCACAGATGAAGGCATCATCTGTAACACCCTTGGCTTCTACACCTCTGATAGATTGAAAAACTTCCATTGGAATAATTTCAGATTCAATATCATGTCAACGCAAACCACATCATCATCAATAGCCATAGCAAGTACGACCTCGGTGGTTTCTTCTTGTTGGAACACATCATTAGGTTGCACGTCATCCATCTCTGGCACATCCCAAATTCCTCGATGTTGAAACGTTTCTACGACTCTCTAATTGGTACCTAATTTGGTGTCATTAACATAGAATACTTGTTCAACTTGACTTCGTAATACAAATGAGTCATCTTTGAACCATCGACTTGTTACATCAACTGTTGTCAATTGTGGTTCTACACGCATGGTTTTACTACTACCGATGTTAAACCATTTACATTGGAACAATACAATCTGACGTCTAAACAAATAGTTCGTTTCTCACACTTTGCACAAGTGTCTATAGAAGTGTATCAATTGGCCTTCATGCTCTCCTTCCACGACTAATCCACTATTCTGACTTTTACGACGGTTGTCACGGTCGATAGTATGAAAACGAACACCATTACAAATACATCATGAATATGTGTTCACTAAGCCACTAGGACCATTGGCTAATGACCACATATCATCAGTTGCTTCAGGGGAAACTTGGCTCCGCAATTCATTCATCTACATGAAGAACATGTGTCATGTTACAAGCATGCACAATATTAACGTAATGTACGATTGATGGTAGGATATGAGAATACTAGCTTACATGATCTTTGAACCATTTAGGGAATTCTTTCCGATGTCTGTTTTTGATGTTAAATGCACCGGCTCTTTGGTGTAACAAGTTCTTGTGCTCCCTAGTTACAAGAAATGCAATTCAAAAATATTTACTAAGATAAAGACAAATCAATTTACAACAAACACATTCTAAATACGTTTGAAGGATTCATACTCTACGTGTTTATCCTCTTCTGTGCTATTGTGTAGGACAAACCAATGAGCCATCTCGCGTTCAGCTACGGACACATCGGATGCCCTTGTCATTAGACCAAAGGGATGGACATTTTGAGTGAATACCGCCAACCCTGGGCCATGGTCACCCATGTCATAATTCCTTTCTGGGCGGTTAAACAATTTTTTAACTCCATCCAAATACATTGAACAAAATGTTGTACATTCTTTGGAAATGTAAGCCTTGGCAATAGAACCTTTAGGATGAGCTTTGTTGGTCACAAACCCTTTTAGATGGCCAAGCAACCTAACGATCAAGCGGATGACAATGTTATACTGCAATCTTTATATCAGCAGTAAAGCGTTAATTAAAATTTGACAGTAATACGAGGGCTGAGTTAATACCTCTCAATTGGCTACATCCATCGATATTACACTGGGCCTCCAAGCATAGCCTCTCGAGGCAAGTGAATTTCCAAGTGGACCATGACATCAAAAAAAGCCGGCGGGAAAATCATATCAAGCTTACAAAGTATGAGCACGATTTGTTCATCCAAGTTCTGCAAATCTAAACGCCTCAATGTCTTTGAACACAACTGTTTGAAGAAATTTCCTAACTCAAAAAGTGTCGTTCTGATTTCTTTATTAAGGTAGCCACGCATCCCAATTGAAAGAAGTCGTTGTATAAGGACATGACTGTCATGACTCTTGAGGCCAGATAATTACCAGCTTGAGCAGTCACGCAATTAGAGATATTTGCTGCATAGCCATCAGGGTACTTTATTGATTTCAAGAAATCACAAAAGCCTTCTCTCTCTTTCACAGATACTGTGTACAATGCGGAAGGCTTCTCAAAGGACCCATTAGAACACCTCTTCAAGTGTAACTCTTTACGTATTCTCATGTCCCCCAAATCTAAGCGTGCTTTGTTCGTGTCCTTGTTCTTTCCATCTGCGCTCAAAAGTGTCCCAACGACATTGTCACATATATTCTTTTCAATATGCATGACATTAAGGTTGTTTCGAAGCTTCAATGTTTTCCAATAGGGCAAGTCAAACATAATGCTTCTCTTGCTCCAATTCAAATTTTGATGTTCATTCCTTTGTTGTTTTCGATTTTGTGAGTGCTTTCCATACGGCTTGTAAGTCCCAGAATCAATTTGCTCTAATATTTGTTCCCCCGATAAGTCTAAAGGTTTGGACCTATGCTCCGTTTGACCATTGAAGAGCTTACTTATTCGCCAAGTGTGGTTCTCAAACAAGTAGCGAGAGCACCCATATACCCTATTTTACTTCGTAAACCCTGGGACGATGCATTATTGTTACAATTAGGGCAAGCCAAGTAACCCTTTGTACTCCACCCTGACATGTTACCATACGCAGGGAAGCCATTTATGGTCCACATTACCGCCGCATGAATTCTAAAAATTTGCCCGTTCGATGCATCATATGTTTGCACACCATGCTCCTACAAATTCTTCAATTCTTCTATTAATGGTTCCAAGTAAACATCAATGTCTCTTCCAAGTGCCGAACAACCGGGAATAAGCAATGACATCATGCAATATGGCTCTTTCATATACTTTTACGGTGGGAGATTGTAAGGCATTAAGATTACAGGCCACATGTTATATGATGTGCTCATATTTCCAAATGGATTGAAACCATCTGTTGCCAGCCCTAGCCTTACATTTCGAGAGTCATCAGAAAACATCGAATGTTGCTTATCAAAGTCCTTTCATGCTTCACCATCGGCCGGATGCCTTAATATGTCATCATCCACACACTTCTCATTGTGCCATCTCATATTTGCGGCTGTTTTTTTAGACATATACAGTCTTTTCAACCTTGGTGTCAAAGGAAAGTACCGCAATATCTTGTGTGGAATCTTTTTACCACCATCATCGTTCAACTTGTATCTACACGCATCATATGTAGGGCATTTCTCCAAATTAGCACTCTCCTTCCAAAATAGTGGACAATCATTCTTGCACGAATGAATTGTTTCATATCCCAAACCCAAGTCACGCAAGAACTTCTTAGCATCATAGAGTGTCCATGGAACAGTTTGATTACATTCTGGTAGAATGTCCTTGAATACTTGCATAACTATATCGAATGACTTGTTGCTCCATTTGTTGTACACCTTCACATGAAGCATCTTAATGATGAATGATAACACAGAGAACTTTTCACATGTCGAGTAAACTTTGCGTTGTGCATCTTCGAATAACGTAATGAACTTATGCAAATCCTCCCTCTCCAAACCATTAGGTTCCTCGTCGGTATGATCATCTATAAGACCACTCACGTAAATTTCTTCAATTCATCCATGGGCGGATCATCGATATCTGTCATACATTCGCCACTACCTCCACATTGGTTATTTGGTACACTAGGATGAGACACGGGAACATGTTCCCCGTGGTGCACCCAAGTTATATACGAAGATGCCATTCCTCTTCGGATCAAGTGCATCCACACAACTTGTCTGCTATATTTTGTGCCATTAATGCAATCGACACATGGACACCTAATTTCATCATCTACGCCTAAATTTTTCATAGCAAAATCAAGGAATGACTTCACCCCTTGTTGATACTCTTTACTTGTCAAACTATTATTTATCGCCATCCAACTCTTGTCCATTTTGTCACCTACAACTCACACACAGATTAACCGAGGAACAAATGAGAACACGCATTTCAAATTGAGATAGATTATGTTGTTTTTCATTCACTGTTTGGCTTGTCACATAAATCTCTTTTAGGGTGGAACTAAATGACACGATTTGTACCATGCTATGCGTAATTATGGAAGTTAATTTAAGAAATGACCCATAATTTTGGACCACTAGATAGCATAACTAGTAGAGCACTAGTGCTAGTGAAACCATATGGTCAATAATAGAATAATATAGCAAAAGAATCAAAACCATTTTCATGCTCTCAATAGTGTGTGTGCATGACATGTTATTTATTCACAAAAAATTCCTCATGGGTACTCATGAGCTTGAGGTAGTAAAAGCAAAATGTACAACATTGGCTACAAACACATAAGCTATGCATAGTTGCGATGGCTGAAATCAGCCGTTGCACATCTAACGGCCATAAAAAAAATTAAAAAAATTAAAAAAAAAAAAAACAAGGCGGGGTTTCAAAGAGATCAAAACTTGCAGCTTCATAGGAGAGGACATAACCTTCCATGGAAGCTGAAGCAAAGAAACAACAAAGATAATAGAAAGAAGGCCTATGTGTGCCCTAAGCCTAGTTGTGTGCACCACACTCCTTCAAGGGCTCTTGGTGATCTCACTGGAATCAAGAAACACTTTTGCAGAAAACATGGGGAAAAGAAATGGAAGTGTGAGAAGTGTTCAAAGATCTATGCGGTTTAATCAAATTGGAAGGCTCACTCTAAAACCTGTGGAACAAGAGAATATAGATGTGACTGTGGAACCCTTTTCTCCAACTAAATAAATTACATTACTCTAAATTCTTTTTATTTTTATTTTTCTCTTGTTAATTTATATCTTCTTTTGGGTTTGTTTATATATCTTCTGCTTGTTTCGAACTGTTTGTTTTTACACTAGGGTGTTTTTAAGCTTTGCATGGAATATTGAAGTATAGTTTCAATGCAATTGACAGAGTGCATGAAAGTGGTGGCCATTAATACAAGTGTCTTTCACTGGTGACATTAATTACAAGAGAAACATAAAACCACTATCTCTGAAATCTAAATTTGCAAATTTTGTATTTCAAAAGAAAAAAAAAAAAGAAAAGGCAAAGATTAAATAAAAAGGGAAATCAAGGCAAACTTTTTTCTATTCGTTTAAGTACAGTCTGTGACTCTAGCACGTATTGGATTTATTAGTCTAGTTTTTGTCGACATCATAGTCTTAATATGGATTTTATTTTTAGCTTCTCTTTGAGGGTGAAGAGTGTTCTGGTGTCGAGCAAAGTCTATTTTGAACATGTTTGATGCAATTTTCGGCAAATTAAAAATCTGTAATCAAAAAACAAAACAAAGGTTGAATTATGTGTAGAGAGAGAGAGAGAGTGGTACTGCTTGGTATATATGTATGGGGCATTGGAACAGACAAACATTTGAGGGGCTGCAGGATTTTTCATAGCTTTGCTTTTTGGTACTACTTACTTGGTATAATGCAGTGACTGCAGTGATGCAGTCTCAAAAACAATGATGCAATTTCTACTCTTGTATACTAATGTGATGATGGTTGATGTGCTATTATTAGTTTTCATATATATATATATATATATATATATATAAGTATATATAAAGAAATATTTTGACATTATTTGATTCGTAACGAACCGTTTCTATTTGGCTAACATAAAATTGTTGAATACTACTTTTATATAAAATGATATAGTTTATTATGATTTCTTCATTTACTATTATTCTATAATTTATAAAATAAAATAAAAGAAAACTATTCACACATCAGTCTCGATATATTTTATAAATTATATATATTTACAAATCATTTTCTTTTAGCCAAACAAAAAAAAAAGTGTTTAAAATGAATTTTTAGAATGAATCAAAACTTCAAAAAAACCAAATAATTTTTGATTGGAGGCCCTTTGAAATTGTGGAATACCACAATTATAACCAATAAATCTGCAAATATAGCTGCTTGGATGAGTCGCTCTCCTTGCCTCTCATTACGTATTTGTTTGGTGAATCCTCAGTTACAGATGCATTTCAAAAAAGAAATGCATGGCTCATGTGAGAGTGATTTATCATTATAACTTGAAAGCCTTGCATTGTTGCGACACACAATAAGTTATGGTTTTAATTACCCAACCACTCTTAAGATAGAGCATAACATGATTAATAGATAGATCAGTTTATATATACACACACATTAAATAGATACAGTCACACATGAACACATACAGTCACACACACACTTCTTCAGCCTATGGTAAATGTTTATGCCCATAATTCTTGTACAACATATGGTAAATGCTATCCCACAATTCTGGGCAAAGTAAACTGTTTTACAGTAATTTATTTATTTATAATTTACAGCATATGGTAATTGATTGGCCTAATTTTAGCATTTCTGTAATTTGTACACCAAATTGAATAACATTGGCGCTAATTTCAAAACATCTCACCCCAAGCATTGCCCTAAATTTTAATTTCAATCACATTTCAATCAAACAGCCGTAATTTTCCAAACATTTCCTATTTGATTTCTCTGTGTGTGTGTGTATATATATATATATATATGTATGGTGTGTGTGTGTAAACAGAGAGAGAGAGAAAGAGAGAGGGAAATTCGAGAGGGAGATACAGAGAGAGGGAGAGACAGATGCGAAATGGAGGACATACCTGGGAGGGAGACTACGCGATGATCCGACAGCTTTTGCGGTGATGGCGATGGAGACAAAGCTATAGCGAATAGGGCAGACCAGTCAAAAACTAAATTTAGTCGATTATATATTGAATCAAGGTTGTGTATATATCATGATTTGTGTGTGTGTATATAGCGAGTGAGAGAAAGAGGGAAACTGAGAGCCATACAAAAAAGGAGACACAAATCGAGAGGGGATATAGAGAGATAAGAAGAAAGGCGAAATAGAGGACCTCCTGGAAGGGAGACAAAGTGATGATCCAGCAAGCCTTGTAGTGATGGCGATAGAGACAGAGCAGTGATAGAGGCATGAGTGCGAGAGAGAGGAAAACGACTTCTGTTGCAATAAAAATATAAACAAAGAAATATTTATTCCCGACAAAAATAATTTTGGTTGCTAATATTTTATGAAAAATTAATATTCCCTCCAAACGATTTTGCCTGTTTTGGCTACTGAATTAGAGTCAGTAAAGCAAACAGATTAAGCGACCAAAATTGAAATAGTCGCCCAACCCCTTATTTTGCACGACTAAACTAAACACATTTGTAGCCAAAAATTATTAATAATATCTCCGAAAAGGTGCTTTTCCACGACTAACACACAATTAGTAGCTAAAAATTAAATAAAAACCAATAATTTTTTTTTATATTTAATAAAGACTGTGCAATTAGTGACAACATCATCTTTAGTCGCCCAAAGTAAACACAATTCCGATAACATTATTTTAGTAGCAAATAGTGGACTTTTACCGACCAAAAAGGTTTAGTAGCTAATGCATGTACTTTGGCGACCAATATTGTTTGGTAGCTAATGTGTCTACCATTGGCGACCAACAAATTTTTAAGTAGCTAATTGGTATAACCTTTGGCGACTAAATTTAGTTTAGTCGGCAAATTAGTCGCCGAATGGTTTCTTTGTTGTAGTGAGATGTTGTTTATATATTACCCTTGATATTATGTATGGTAAGTCTTACAATCCAGAATAATAACCAGGACTAGAATTTTGAACTTGTAATGCATATTTTCATTTTTGCGGAGATAAAATTATCAATAAATCTTGTTTGTAAGATTTAAAATTGTTGAATATTTTCTCTAATTTTATTTTTTGAGTTTGTAGGCGTTCTTTTCCATGGTTGAAAGACATCAATCTTGCGAAATTTATGACACAATTCAAGAGTAATGATTCATAACTCTAAATTTAGAACTCTAATAATAGCACTAATAATGTGACATGGAGCCAAAAAAAAACAGAAAAAAAAAGAAAAAAAAAGACACATATATCAAATCATTCATAAATAAAGCCCACTACCACATCAATATAACTCTAATTAGAGCTCTACTTTTAGTATTATCATACATTTTTGCACAATTCAATTCCAAATGTCGTTCTTTTTTTAAACTGTAGCACAGGGTCAGTTTTAGACATTAATGTTCAGTAAACGGTAGATGTGTGGGTCACCATGACCCATGAAAACGCAGTCCACTTGTACATATTTAAGTGTAGAACCTTGCATTTTTTTTTTTTGGGGGTAATAATGATTGTTTTATTAAAAATGAAGCGATTACAATAAATTATTGGAAGGCTAGCAACCTTCTGTCTCACTCTTTTTTGTTCTCCCGATTGGTGGCGAAGTCGCATGGTAATCAAGAGGGCATGTGCCCCTCTCAGATATTTTTTTTAGACATATATATAAATAAAATTTTAAACAAAAATAATATTTAGAATTATATGTTAAGGGTATTTTTAAATTTATGAAAATAATAATGATTGTTTTATTAAAAATGAAGCGATTACAATAAATTATTGGAAGGCTAGCAACCTTCTGTCTCACTCTTTTTTGTTCTCCCGATTGGTGGCGAAGTCGCATGGTAATCAAGAGGGCATGTGCCCCTCTCAGATATTTTTTTTAGACATATATATAAATAAAATTTTAAATAAAAATAATATTTAGAATAAAATGTTAAGGATATTTTTAAATTTATGAAAACAATAATGATTGTTTTATTGAAAATGAGTGACTACAACAAATTATATTTTTATGTATAAAAATTTTGTGAAAAAATCTCAATATAAAGATAATATCCATCATTATTGATATGCAAATATAATTAATCTCACTATGTATATGTAAAAATTACTAGAGTGTTAATTATATTTGCATGTAGAGTTCACCCTTCATATGTTGCTTTACTATTGGTTGGTGATATCATATGCCAATAATGATGTGATATCACTATTATATGTATTTTTTACTCAAATTTTGTAAATATTTGATTTATCTTACCATTATATAATTTATTTTAAGACTTAAATATACGACTTTTGTATATTATCCATGATACGCTAGTTACATGTAATATTTTTTTTTTATTTTACTCGAAATTAATCGTAAAATTTTATGTGAAATACTTTTGTAATAATTTATTTAAGTTTTTGTACTTAATATTAATTCAAAAATTATTATTATCTTCTCATTATTGGTTATGGAAAAAAAAATTAAAGTTAAAATCAATAAGTGCCCCTTCTGATTTAGTTTCTTGACTCCACCACTGCTCTCGATCATATTATCTATGTTTTTAAATTTCATTAAGTAGTAAAGAAGATATTTAGTACAAAAGAATAAGAAAAAAATAAAACGATTGATATGATTCTATTGATTTAAAAATCTCCTCACACTACTTCTACCATAATATGATTCTATCGATATGATTCTATCTATCTGTCAATTGATATTATCTAGTCATTTGGCTCCGTCGAAGACACAATTGGGATGTGGTCAATGATGGGTTCTTCAAAGCCTATTGCACACATATTGAGAGCATGGATCATCAAAACCTCGTCAAAAAGATTCCAATTTTTTAAGAGAAAAATTAAAATTATGAAAAAAATTTCATGAAAATGATCATGAAAAATTTATAATTCTTAAATTATCTTGATTAGTATGTAGTACTTTATTTTAAGTGTAATTCAAGGGTCACAAAACTTTTATGATTATTTTGATGAAAAATTTTTCATGATACCTAACATTGTTGATTTTTTAATAAGATTTCAATTTTATCTTATGTCATCCGTGATTCATCCATGCATTTACTCCTTTCATTTATTGAACAGATAGTTATTTAAAAGTGTAAACAATTTGAACAAATAACTCTCTATAAAATGAATGTTTTTATGGCCGTAAAAAATTAGTGACTGCACCTATTGTCAAATAAGTTTAAAAATTAGATTTTTGCCCTTAAATTTTTTTTTAAACTATAAAAAAATTTAAGAAATATTTTTTTTTATTTTTTTTGAAAAAATTCACAAGAAAAAGTAAAAAATTATTTTGTTGGCTTTCATATGTCTTTATTGGACCTTTTTTCTTTTTGAAAATTTTTAATTTTTTTTGTTGTCTTTTACTTTCTAGTCTTTCTAGTTGCGTAAAACTTAAAAGCATAATTATTTTTGAAAATTTTTAAATTTTATTTTATTAAAAGAAAAAAAAAGTCATTAAAAAAATATAATGTCATTATTACCTAACGATCTTGAGTCAACCAAATTCATGTAAGATGATGCTTGAGTCGTCTTATAACAAATTTATTTTATTATCATTATTTTTAATTTTCCACATATATATATATATATATATTAAATCCCAATTACAATGGAATACTTTAATTTATGTTGTCCAAAACAATGAAAAATCTAAGACCTAGTTTTAAAATTAGAGCAAATGGTAAATGAAAATGTTAAACATGGTCAATTGCAAATAGCACTTATTATATGCGTGCAATATTGGTTTTTCTTTTGGGTCGACAACATGAGTTTATTTTCTCTTTTTTTTTTTTAAGGTAAATTACAAACACATTTTCTGAGCATTACTTAAATTACAAATTATTCTATGTGGTTGTAGAAATTACATTATGTCCCTTAAGGTTTCTAATTTCATAACAAATAGGTCCTTCCATTAATAAATCATCAAGTTAATTAACAATTTTTAATGATGTTAAAATTATACTTCAATTAATAATTCAGATAATTTTATTATTGTATAGGTGAACAGTTAGAAATTTCACTTTTTCAATTAATTCTGTTAAATAAAAAATTTTGACAGACAGGTATTTGTAATTTTCCAAACCACTGGAGGCAATTCGTATTTTAAACAAATTTCAAGGGGTGTATTTATAATTTACCATTTTTATAAAAATTCTAAAAAATCAAATTATTTATCAAAATAACATACTTTTCAAATTATTTATCAAATTAATCAACTTTTTAAAAATGCAAATTCAAATTGTGAGTTCAGCATGAAATTACATGTTCAAAATGAAATCGCATTCTAATAGTTTAATTTTTTAGAATATTCATAAATAAATAAAAAAAACTGACAACATAGGTTAATTGAAAATCATTTTGATAGTTCTCTAACTAATAAATGGAATAAATGATTGAACCAGTGTACTTTAGTTCTCAAGTACAGAGCACAACATTTGTTCAACTATTTAGTGCAAAGCTATATTGGTTGGATGCAACGGTTATGGGGAAGGGTAAAGGTGGCAAGAGAGGCAATAGTGGTGGTGGGCCGGTGGACGTGGTAGGGAATGGGTGGATTGTAAACGTGGTATGTTTACAATTTTATCTCAAAATTTTTGCATGATTTTACGAATAAGAAAGATAAACTGAACTTAAAAATCCATTAGCAGTTATATACAAATTGGGAAGTTTAAAATTAATGAAATTGTAATTTTTTTAAAGAAATTTGTGAGTATCTAAGAAGAAAACAAGTAAAGAAATTTCAAAAAGCGCCAACACCAAATTAGTTTTGTACACTTGGTATAATAGAATAAACATTCATAATTTCTCATTGTTAATGAAGTTCAAAACCACCATAGAAATTTGATTAATAAGAAATTATTGGACATCAATGACAAACATTATGACAATTAAAAAAAGAATGACAACTCTACATGGAAATAATGTTTTCTTCTTTCTATTTTTTATTTTTGTAAAAACAATACAACAATAGTGATTAAGAATCACACCAAATTTGCACCACATTTTATTCTCTTTTATACAATCCTTATTTTGGTGCAAGAAAATAAATGGTTTGCCATGGAGAACTTAACCCATGCGTGCAGACGTAAATCAAAGGCCAAGTGTGAATGGCACATTGGTGGCTGGCAACCACCTTTTGCCAGAGATAAAGCTTCCAACCGTATATTTGGAAGCCACAGTGGCGCTAGTTATGACATGGTAGCCACCCCATTTCACCCTGTTAGCGGTGGAGGAGCCAGGACCAGTGTTCATGTACTCTCCATAATACAAAGTACTAAGAGCAAAATTGCCACTCCATGGCATCCACCCTGTCGAGTCAATCAATCCATCGAGGAATGTCTTCATGTAGATCGTGCGTGAGTACTGCTTCCATGGACGACCAAGGTATGTCGTAACTGAACTTTGCACTGGCTTCAAGTCTGAAGCTGCGGTAACTGTGCAATTGTGGATTGAAATTCCAGTGTTTTGGTTAGGGTCAGTTCTGCCTTGGGCAGTTATGGTGTTTGTCTTGTTAGGGGGACTTCGAGCATATATGTTGCAATTTTGGAAGACGACAGCGGCGTTCCCAAAAATAAAGTCTACGGTTCCATAAATGTCGCATTCTCTAAAGAATTGTCGTTGAGAGTGGACGTAGACTGTGTCTTGGTACCCTTCAAAACTACACCGATAGAATACTGAGAGGTCGGAACCTGACCGCAATGCCACAGCCTGTTGGTTCACTGCTCCGGCCGTGTTCCTAATTGTGATGCCCCGTGCTATAAACCTATCTCCGACTACCCCTGAATCAATAATAAGATATCGTGTCAAGTTTGGATGATAAAAGGATATGTTTATAAACCTAATTGAATGATTTTTTTTTTTTAAAAAAAACAGTTTCGCTGATGGTTTTAACTAATAGTATTAGTTACGTATCCGTATGAGCAATATATGGTTTAATATCGGACAATACCAATCACTAATAAACAAACAACAAAAACAAAGAGCATTTTGAACTTACCAACAGTGGCTGATTGGAAGGTGGTAGAGCCTCCAACAACACTCTTGCTTCCAGTGATTATAGTCTTCCCAATCCCATCACCAATCAACATAACATTATTTGCTTTAATCTCAATATTCTCTTTATAAATCCCAGCTTTCACATAAATCACAAACCTCTTACTTCCACCTTTCTTTCTCGCCGCTGACACTGCCTGTCTGATCGTCTTAAAATTCCCCGATCCATCCTTCGCTACCACCACATTTGCCTTCACAGCCCGAGGCGATGAAGACAACAATTTCCGATCATCAGGCTTAACCCAGCTCGGAAACCCGCCTTTTTTATAACTCGGCGCATGATATGGAACTTTGTTCATAGCCAAAGTGTTGCTAATCAACTTAGAAACATTGTTAGACATCAATGGAAGGACATAGTCGGCGACACCAAGCTCTTCAAACCCTTCTCGACACGTTTCAAGGTTTGTCAAGGCAGTGCTCAGCCAGGTTTGGGCGTCGTGTTGGCTGCACTTGGTGGTCGGGTTGACTGTCTTGTTGAGTCTGTGGATTGTATACTCGTAGAGCTTGAGACAGTCGGCCCAAGCCGCCTTTTCGCGCTCCTTGTGACACATCGAACTGAGCTTGTAGGTGTGGGCTTGGGCATGTAATGCTCGGTCTAGGGCTAGTTGGACTGAGAGTTTGAAGAAATCTGTCTTTTGTTTGATGGGTTTGATGTATTTAGGGTTGTGGGTTAAGAAGTACTCACAGGGTTGTGGGTATGGTGTTTTGCCACACCAAGTTACTGTCTTTGACGGAGAGTGGTGGTGGCCGGAGATGGAAGGAGAGAGGAGGAGAGAAAGAGAGATGAGTAAGATGAAGAATTGGAGAGACATTGTTGGAGTAAAGATTGTGGTAATGATGATGAATGTTTGTTTTGGAGTTTAGGTGTCGAATGGGTTGGTTCATATAGGGAGTCAAAGAAAGGGTGGCTCAATAGTGGATTGTATTTTTTTTATGAGTTTAGGTGGATAAGAGAAGGTCAACTTAGGGAAGGCTGGAAACAGCCATTACTCAAAAGTTTCAGAATTTAATATGTATAATTAATTTATTGTTATTATTATGAATTTTTTCCTTCTTTTTTTTGGGTGTGGCTCTCATGGGATTAAGTTGAGTAAATTATATCATTAATCATTGTAATTTAAGCGAAGTCCTACCTCGATAGTTTCATTTTGAATCATTTAAATCCTATACATTTAGTTTTGTCAGGATGTTATGCTTTGGTATGTACCATTAACATTTTAAATTCTACATTAGCCTTTTTTTAATTTACATGCAGATTAAAATTTCAAAATTCTAGCAATAAATGTCAGAGGCATCATATTGCAACTATACTAAAAGTTTACTGTTTAAATTGTCCTAGCTAAAACTACGAATATCAAAATAAATTTTGCCAAATTAGCAAGACCAATGGTATAATTTGTCTAATTAAGTTTGAATCAATATCATATATTTAAGCTTTGGTATATTTTTGAGTTCTTTTAAATTAGTTTGTAGTTTTAAAAAAAAAAATACTCATCATAGTCATATGGTATTCTCTATTTTGAGGTAAAAATAAATTTTAAAATATATATATTTTTTAAAATTTATTTTTACCTAAATAATTTTTATTTTTTGCAATTGTTTCAATAAATTTAATATATTTTTGATATATATATATATATATATTTATTTATTTTAAAAATTATATGTATTTGACTTAAAAATGGCACCAAACACGTTTACAACTCATTCATTTCTAAATGTAGTTTAGGCATGCATAGTAATCTTTTTAAAAAGTTATTATTATTATTTTTTTTCAAAAAAAAGTGAAATCTTATTGACAAGATTTTGATTAGAGTTGCAAATAAATTATTCATAAACAACTCAGCTCGTTAAGAGCTCAATTAAGTTCAACTCATTTAATAATCAAACGAGTTCAAGCCATATTATTAAACCCATTAACCAATCAAACCGAGCTCAAGCTAACTGTAAACCGTCTAAGCAAGCTAAGGCCATTTTATTTATTTATTTATATATATATATATATATATATTATATTAGTAAAGTAATGGTAAGGTGCCACAATACAAAGGAATTTGTCAAGAGTGGGATGCGTTACATGCATTGTCACTTGCCGGTGTTGGACAGTAGGCTTTTTCTAGTCGGAGTACCTCCATTCTTCTTGTTTTCTCATGGTTGTGTAAAATACTGTTTAATTCTTTAAATTATACTGAATTAATTTATTTTATTTTATCTACTAACAGCGGATTAAATTTTAAAATTTACAATCCGTCTACGAAATCGCTCTGTTAATACATATAATATATTTTTAAACCTATAATGAAATATCAAAATAAAAATGAGTGATAAATATTTAAGATGTAGAATTTATTACAAATTAGTAGTTATATATATGAAAAATTAGTTTGTATTATATACATCAAAAAATATTATGTAAATACTGGATAATTGGTTAAAAATATTATTAAATCTGTCAATCAGCCCCAAATCGCCCAAACTGCGATTTGATTATTTATTAATTCATCATTTGATTTATAATTTTACTCTTAGATCGTCCAAACAAAACTGCGTATAACCCTCCCTTGAGTGTGTGTGGATTTATGGTGGAGTTGATGTTGGATCTCTTACAGGTGGGGCTGTTTTCACTAAAAATTTAGTTGTCAAAATGATTTATCATTAAAAATTTAGTAAATTAATTTTTAACGAAATTCACTTTTAACTTGACCTTTTTAGCACATTAAAAGGATGGTTATTCGTTGCCCTTTACACATCATAGGCAATAGAAAGTTTTTGTTTCAAAGTGTCAACTAAAAACCAAAAAAATAAAAGAAAAATATTTTTTTTATGCAAAATCAATTTATATAAAAAAATAATTTTAAATATAAAACATTTTATATCAAAATAAACAGAACTTAAACACAATGAGTAATAGAAACCTTGTGCAAACTTACAACTTTCATTATATTATATATAAAATAATGAAAAATTGACCAAGGGCAAGTGTCAACTAAAAGCCAAAAAAATAAAAGAAAAATATTTTTTTTTATGCAAAATCAATTTATATAAAAAATAATTTTAAATATAAAACATTTTATATCAAAATAAACAGAACTTAAACACAATGAGTAATAGAAACCTTGTGCAAACTTACAACTTTCATTATATTATATATAAAATAATGAAAAATTGACCAAGGGCACCGTTTAAGTATTTTTTTTCAAAGGGATGTTTATTCATGTATCTTTTAAATTGATTTTTTTAAACACATTATTTTAGAATCACTCTACAAAAAGGATAGATGCACTTCATTATGTTTTGTATTCCATTAGCTTCAATGCTGGATTGTAACATTTGTTCATTTCATCCAATGGAAATTTATGTTGTCTCTGGACAGATTTCACTTTGGAAGTTTCATTTTTGGTCTAGTCTTTATTTTTAAACCAATTAGCTGAATAAACCACATTCAAAAAAAAAAAAAGAGAAAAGAAAATCTGTACAAGTCACAAGTTTTATTCCTCAAGTCCCACATCGACTGTACCTTACTTTATATAGTTACAAAGAGTCTATGAAGTGAATGATTTGACGACAATGCTACGTAACTCAAATTTTGTGGCTCAAAAGTGGCTCAAATGGCCAAAACGACGTCGTTTTGAGTACAGAACAACATAAAAATGGCCAAAATGACGTCGTTTTGGCCATTTGAACCACTTTTGAGCCACAAAATTTGAGTTACGAGACATTTTCCATAATTTAATTGCCCAACACTTTTTGATAATTGAGCCAATTTGAGCCCAACACGAACTTAGTTTAAACTTTACGAGTCGAGCTTGTAGCTTGTTTTGAGCTCAAGTTGAGCTTGAATATTCTTAAAATGAACCGAGCCGAGCTTAATATTATAAAATTCGACTCGTTTGTTACTGTAGTTCTGATGATCCATGCTCATTATGTGTGCAAGAGGTATTGAAGAACCGATCATTGACCACACCAAAGTCAAATGATTATATATCTTTTTTATCATTGGGTGACGAAATAATTAACACTTTATAATAATTTTACGGACATGAAACAGAATTAATCACAAAATCCACCACATGAATTAATGGGACAATTGCTTTTTTGTTAGACAATCTAAATAACGAAGAAAAACTTACAAAATAATGGGACAGTCATAAAATAATTACATTGTAAATATATATATTTTTTGGGTAATTCAGATGCATGAAAAGTTTATACCACGTACATATAGGAATAAATATATACCATATACATAGTAGACTTGCACTATCATGAAAATGAAATAATTTTTTAATTATTTCATAGAATTTTTTTTTCTAATATATATATATATAGTACACATGAAAACACGCAAAACCAACTATTATATAAAAAATTGCATGATTATATTATAAATAAAATCAACTAGATATGTATGTGTGTAATATTAAAATTGCAAGTTGTCTGAATTGTATTGAACCGGCTTGAAAATTTCAAATACGGGGATTTAAGGCCATCTCCAATGGTTAAGTAAATATATCACCAAATTTGAATTTGGTGAAAAAATACATCTTTTTTGGCTCGAACGGTTTTATCAAATTAATATCAAATTGAGAACAACCCTAAATTTTCACCAAACTGAAGATGTGTTGCACCTTTCAGCAAATTACTGTGCGTAGTCGTTGAGTGTGAACCCATTAGATGACCGACCAGACATCCTCTCGAATGACTACCTCAAGCAAAATTTTGTGAAAATTTTACACTGGGAGGTCGACCCCCCGGTCGACCATCTTATCAGTAAACAAACAGAATATAAAAAGCCCAAAAAAATAGGGGAAGAGAGAAAGATCAATAGTATACCTCAGTAGCAAAGCTGAAGAAGAAATCAAAAATCAACCAAACAAACACATATAAGTCTCCGTAATGATGTATAATCAAAAATCCATAAGCAAAAACTCCATTAAATTCGAAATCGATATACAAACTGAATCTTTCTTCCTACTTCTATAAATTTTCACTGATGTAGTGAAGAGAGAGAAGGAAGGAGTTGATGCTAGTATGATAAAAATGGTTCGGCTGTAAAGGGATTATAAAGAGAAAAACAGAGCGAGTGAGGTTTTTTGAATTGTTTCAGAACAGCCCCAACACAACACAACAGCCACAATTGTTTCAGAACTCGGTTTTTCATTTTTTTGCATTGGCTGGTCGACCAGCCAGTTATCTGCTCGGTCTACCGGCCAGTCGTCTGCTCGGTCGACCGGTAGTTTGATGAAAAGTCAAATTTTTGTGTTGGAGCAGGCGATATCAAATAGAGGAAATCGTCTTTTTTTTACTCAGATTTGATGAAAAATCTAATGAACCATTGGAGATGCTCTAAATAACGATTCAAGTCCGGCCCATCATGAATTGGGATAATTAAGAAAAAAAGAAAAAAAATACTCAAATAATCTTATTTTTCAGAACATATTATATTTTCTGAATAATTTCACATGTAATTATCAATGTAAGTCATCTTTAAAAATTTTATTTGTGTTGCAAAAAAAAAAAAATTTATACTACAACATATGAGGGTTTTAGGGACTATTTTTTTTTTCCCTCCAAAAAAGTGAAAATTTTGTTGTAAAAAATATTTAGAAACTAATTTCTATCATCACGAGAGTGATTACTGAAAGGCCGTCCCAGAAAGTATAAAAAAATAATCTTTAGCAATAAAATTTTTAAAATGTTGCTAACGTATGCACTTTTAGAGATATAAACAATTTTGTCCAAGAAAATTTTGTAAGACAAATTTTGGTCTCAAAATAATAGTAATTCATCACTAAATGTTAAATTTCATTGCTAAAATTACAATAATGATTTTTTTGACAACTAAATAT